AAGAAGAAGAAGAAGAAGAAGAAGAACCTACACTTGTCAGCATAGACAACTATTGTAGTTCATTTGGGCTACTGTAACAAAGTTCACAGACTGGATGGCTTATAAACAACAGAAATTGATTTCCTAAAGTTCCAGATTTTGGGAAGTTCAAGATGAAAGTGCTGACAGATTCAATGTCTGTTTAAGGCCCACTTCTGGTTCATAGATGGCCATCTTTTCACTGTGTCCTCACATAGTGGAAGGGACTAAAGAACTCTGGAGGGCTCTCTCTCTCCCTCTCTCATACTGTGGTTAAAATATATATAACATAAGTTTACCATGTCAATCATTTTAAGTGTATAGTTCCATGGTATTAAATACATTTGTAAAAAAAAAAAATAGCCTTAAGCTGTCCCCCTGGGTAGAGTGCTATGGCATCACAGCTCACAGCAACCTCCAAGTCCTCGGCTCAAGTGGGTCTCTGCCTCCCAAGTAGTTGGGACCACAGGCTCCTGCCACAACGCCTGGCTATTTTTTGGTTGTAGCCATGATTGTTGTTTGGTGGGTCTGGGCTGGATTCAGATCCGCCACCTTAGGTGTATGTGGCTGGCGCCTTAGCCACTTGAGCCACAGGTGCCAAGCCAATATTTTCTTTTTTGAGGCGGAGTTTCACTCTGTTGCCTTGAGTAGAGTGCTGTGGCGTCATCATAGCTCACAGCAACCTCAATCTCTTGGGCTTAAGAGATCTTCTTACCTCAACCTCCCAAGAAGCTGGGACTACAGGTGCCTGCCACGAGGCTTGGCTATAGTTTTTCTATTTTTAGTAGAGACAGGGTCTTGATCTTCCTCAGGATGGTCTCTAACTCCTGAGCTCAAGGGATCCTCCCGTCTTGGCCTCCCAGAGTGCTAGGATTACAGGTGTGAGCCACTGTGCCTGGCCACATTCATAGTATTTTGCACCCATCACCACCATCCATCTTCACAACTCTTTTTATCTTTTAAATTCCCCATTCCCTCCTTTCCCCAGTCCCTGGCAACCATCATTCTACTTTCTGTCTCTATGGTTTTGACTATTCTTTTTTGTTTTTATTTTTGAGACAGAGTCTCAAGCTGTCACCCTGGGTAGAATGCGGTGGCATCATAGCTCACAGCAACGTCAAACTCTTGGGCTTGGCTTGGCGCCTATAGCTCAACCGGCTAGGGCGCCAGCCACGTACACCTAAGGTGGCGGGTTCGAATCCCCAGCCCGGACCCGCCAAACAACAATGATGTCTGCAACCAAAAAATAGCCGGGTG